AATTCATGCCAATAATTTACCATCTCTGCGCTTCTGTCTTCTTGCCATTCTTACTTAAAATGATTTTGCATTCAGAAATTCGGGACTTAAATACGGATTTGATGCACGAGAAAATAGTGCATATTGGACGTGAAGAAGGGAGCAAGTTGCACGTGGGGAAAAAAACGCGCCTGATTTAAATGTCACACCTGAACGCTCACATCCTTTTAATTATATTTGAAATTATTAACATTGCTCAACATCATGAAAATTAAACCTTATTTTCAATAAGCAATCCTGAAAAATATTTGGGGGTGCTTAACTTTTTTCCAGGTGTATATATTATAGTATATAGTTTCTTCAATTTTAAACCAAATAAATTTATGTGACAATCTTTTCCAAAATCCACCAAAGTCTAAAGTGTTGTTTGACAATTTGGAAATATTATAAATAACAAAAGAGAGTGGCTACAATAGCATAAAGAATATTTATAAACTTTTTGTCCAGTTTTGATTGAAAAAAGTTCAACAGTTAACCATCAAATTCCAATAACTTAGTTTATATAAAATAAATATTGTCGTGTTTTGCTTTTCGTATTTTTCAGTGCTTTTGATAGGGCAGCGTTCTGCATGAGAGAAGCTGAGCAACACTCCGACTGCTCTATCACAGACCGACAGATGGAAACCAGGTTGGCCGGCTTTCACCTGCAGATTGGAGAAAAAGACTGCAGTCGCTACGGTCCGGAAACTTGTGGTGCCGAAGTTGTTGTATCAGCTGCTGGACTAATTCTAACAACTCTCGTTCTTTCGAGATGGTTTTTCTATCACTATTAGAACAAGCAATAGTTCATGAAAACATAATGTATGTGGCGCCATCTACTTTAAACAACTGAAAACAATTTATAATTTACTGTGCAAGTGTTATTACTTTAAAAAGTCTGTTAATAACTGTAGTAGACGTATTATAGTTTGTACGTTTCATCATAGACAATATAATAGTCAGCGGAAAAAGAACTCGATGAAAATCGCGGAGAAAAAGTTAAGATCATCACTAGTTTTTGCGTGATGTTCACCCTACAAGTTTCTTTTTTCACATACACAATATTTTTACTTTTCTCCTAATTGTGTACCTTAAACATGACTTTACATAGTTTCATAAAAATATTATGATAATGTTGTCGTTCTTTGTTTGCTAACTAGGTTTTTGGTGTGTTTTATCGAAATTTATAAAAAGCACAGAGAAAATTTGGTGACCATTAATTAATTAGTTAAGAAATTGCGATGTAGGTGTCGGAAGCTCTGACGTCATGATTCATAAATTCTACAGCGTGACGTGTGAAGAGAGAGCGACCTAGCACACTCTAGCGGTTTCAAGCGAATCTAACCTTCATAATTCATCATTATTTTTTTAATTTTTCTCCAACACATGTTATTTCTTCATTATCTTTTGTTACCTAAAAATAAATAATGAAACTGATTTAGTTTTGTTGCCTAAAGGTAAAAAAAGGTGAGAATTAAAAAAAAAAAACATTCTTCATTCCTCATCATTCATCCTGTTTACTGAAGGACTTTGGAACTTTTAGAATACATAGTTTATATTTTCAACTTTGTGCAAGAACAGCTCAATCTTGACAGTTGGCCCTATTCGTAGCCTTTTTTCGGTTGAACCTGGTACCAGTCAAGCCTAGTGCAGATCAGTGTCCACTTAGAAAAATTTCACAGGAAATGTTATTTCGTCAAACCGTGACTAGTCGTAAATTTTAATTTTGCTTCAAGATACGGACATAAGTAATTGTTATATAAGCACCGCTCATCAATATTCAATACTGGATCTGTTTAGTCACTCTTTTACCTTCATTATCGACTCTGTTCCAGTCACTTAACAGATCAGGTTTATTAATAATTTCGTACTTAGACAGAAAAAGAAAGAGGCCCGAAACGTCTGGACCCAATTACGTTTCAAAATAAGGAGGTCCTCTCTGCAAAGTACGTTTTCACATTTCTACGGTTTAGAATATAAAAACATGTTGTTTCATAATAATTCCCGTTTCCTGTTTGTTTGTTTTTTTACGTCGTTGTGCCAGCATGTGAACAGTGACGTAATAACGTAACAGTGACGTCATATATTACGATCGAAGTGATTTGATTTTTATTTATAAATTGTACTAGCGAAGTTTTAAAATTATGTAATTTGTATCAGAATGATATCTCTTACTAAAATAATTGAGTTATTATGGGATTTTCTCATGTTAATCAGGCAAATCAAGAAAAAAAAAAAAGGTTGGAATCCTGAATCTTCCAGCTTAATCTTTAACTTCATTTGGACTTCCATAAATAAGAGTCATTCTTTAGAGTAGAAACCGTTCCTGATGTTAACCCTAAAGATTTCCCGAACTGTATTACAATACAGCATTACTGTATTAACTGTTTTATGGTACGATTTGGTTCCCCTGGTAGCGCAGCTGTAATTTTTCGGACTTACATCGCTTAAATCCGTGGTTCGATTCCCCGCGGTGGACACAACAGATAGTCCAATGTGGCTTTGTTCTAAACAAAGTGTACGATTTTATCATTTTAAGTGAAACTGTTATATATCACAATGTTATTGTGACATTGCAACAATATTAAAGTTATTCATTTTTACCTGAAACAATATACCACAATGTTATTGTATTAACTGTACAATACAACATTATTAAAGTTATTCATTTTTACCTGAAACAATATACCACAATGTTATTGTATTAACTGTACAATACAACAATATTAAAGTTATTCATTTTTACCTGAAACAATATACCACAATGTTATTGTATTATCTGTACAATACAACAATATTAAAGTTATTCATTTTTACCTGAAACAATATACCACAATGTTATTGTATTATCTGTACAATACAACAATATTAAAGTTATTCATTTTTACCTGAAACAATATACCACAATGTTATTGTATTAACTGTACAATACAATATTAAAGTTATTCATTTTTACCTGAAAACAATACTTTAAAAAAAGTTGTCATCAACATCATAGTTTTGAAACGGTCGTGGTATGCTGTACAATTATTAATCTCATAAGCAGTAAAAAAAGAAGCTTGTTGATTTTCCCACAAAACTGAATAAATTTGATGCTCAAAATACGAGAGGAAAAAGATAGACGGTTAAAAATGGAATCGAGATCCACGCCCTCATAACCAGCATAGTTCTGGACGTTTCGGTTAATATACCAGCAACAAGAAGAAAGCAGAAAATTGAATTTCATTACAGCATCCTTCAACATCCGTGTCGTTGTTTGTTTTTAATTTAATCATCAATAAAATATTTTTATTTACCAAATAGTCCGTGATTACCTGACATACGTAGAATCATGATTTAATTGTTTCTGCTCTTGAACAATTACAACACCAGAGTGCAGCACTAACACAAGAATGCGAAACATATTAACGGCCGCTAAGTATTTGTGGCGTTAATTTGGAGTTATAAATGTTATCAATATATCGTTTTGTGCCTTAATTGGTGATAATAACATTAGGCTTAACAGTTCTTCCAAATGTCTGTCTGTATACAATATTCTGTTTAAAATTGTTCATTAGTTCTTAAATAGACAGATCGAATACAGTAATACTCCAACATACAAACAGACAGAAGCTCCAACACAAAGATAAACAGAAAGCAGTAATATAAACTCCAACACAGAGATAGACAGAAGACGGTAACATAAACTCCAACACAAACAGACGGATGACAGGTGGAAGTCAGTAATATAAAGTCTAACACACAAACAGACAGGTGGAAGACAGTAATATAAACTCAAGCACACAAACAGACAGGTGAAAGACAGTAATATAAACTAAAATACACAAACAGACAGGTGGATGACAGTAATATAAAATCTAACACACAACCAGACAGGTGGAACAGTAATATAAACTACAACACACAAACAGACAGGTGGAAAACAGTAATATAAACTACAACACATAAACAGACAGGTGGAACAGTAATATAAACTACAACACATAAACAGACAGGTGGGTGACAGTAATATAAACTACAACACATAAACAGACAGGTGGGTGACAGTAATATGAACTAAAATACACAAACAGACAGGTGGAAGACAGTAATATAAAATACAACACAGACAGTTGGAAGACAGTAATATAAACTTAAGCACACAAATAGACAGGTAAAAGACAGAAATATAAACCCGAAGACACAGACAGGTTTTGGTAATTTAGGATGAGATTCTTAGTTAAGGCACATTTTATTGGGTGGTTGGTTATCTATCTGTATTTTTGTATTGGGTGGTCAGTTATATATCTGTATTTTTGTATTGGGTGGTTGGTTATCTATCTGTATTTTGTATTATGTGGTTGGTTATATATCTGTATTTTGTATTGTGTGGTTGGTTATCTATCTGTATTTTTGTATTGGGTGGCTGGTTATATATCTGTATTTTTGTATTGGGTGGTTGGTTATCTATCTGTATTTTTGTATTGTGTGGTTGGTTATCTATGTGTATTTTTGTATTGGGTGGCTGGTTATATATCTGTATTTTTGTATTGTGTGGTTGGTTATATATCTGTATTTTTGTATTGTGTGGTTGGTTATATATCTGTATTTTTGTATTGGGTGGCTGGTTTTATATATCTGTATTTTTGTATTGGGTGGCTGGTTTTATATATCTGTATTTTTGTATTGGGTGGTTGGTTATATATCTGTATTTTTGTATTGGGTGGCTGGTTTTATATATCTGTATTTTTGTATTGGGTGGCTGGTTATATATCTGTATTTTTGTATTGGGTGGTAACGTACATTCCAAGCAGTGGGTAGCGGTCTTCTTTGGCAACATCCGTGTCTGTAATAGGATGTGGACATCCCTAGAGAATATATCTCTTCAGACCATCTATTTCCCGCTTCTGTAAGCGTCACTATAACAGTGATACTCACGTGATAGGTATCACAAAGACAAGTTTTTTTGTTGTTGTTGTTGTTACTATTGTTGATAACACAGGTCGTAGGGTGAAAGGATTCTTTTCCACTCGAGAGGAGTGTTATTTAGGGGGTTGCTTCGATTCTATGTTTGGTCTTCCTGTGGTGAAGAACATCTCTTAAGTGTGGCATCTCCTGAATTGAGCTCCAACACTTTTAACTGGAACACTTAACAACGCAACGTTTTCAAGGTAACCTTGTAGCGCTACCTACACTATTTTTTATTAAATATGTTTTACACGTGTTTCTATGCGCTTCCGCCAACTGGCAAAGTCATGGCCAGTATGTTTCTCCAACCCACCCACGAAATTTCTATACCAAAAATTTATTTTGTAACAGACCTGTATATTCTTATTCGTTTCGAATCCTCGTGAAATTACTGGCGCTCTCTCTCTCCCAGTTCTTGAATTTCCAAGTTTGTGCGATAGATTTTGTCAGCAATGAACCCTTGTGTTGAGAGTATTAACGTGGGTGAAGGAACTCACCAACTTCGTGAATGTACGGGTAAAATAAATAGTAAAGCCTGTTTCGAGATGCCTCAAGGGTTACGAAATGGGGAAACCTGTTTATGAAGATTTCAAGCTTGGTTGCATTCTCAGTTCTTGCGTCTGTCTTTTATACAAAAGTCATAGGCAAGAAACTCAGACACTGCAAAAGGAAACGCGAGTAAGCCAAACTCTACAGGACGTCTTCTGCACCAGCATTAGTCCACGAGTTTACAGTAACTATCTAGTTTCGTTTCTTGGTTCTTTCAATTTTTAACAAAGATTTGGTGAGCTGTCAACGTCTACTTATGTACAATCGTTTATTTATTAAGTAAAGTAAACAATTCCCTACTCTTTAATTAGTGAATTGGAGAAGAAGAAGAAAAGAGGATCAAGGATTTGGCACAGGTAAGTGAAACGTTTTGTAAAACTTCGAGATTATTCTACTAAAAACGTGAGTTTGAATGAGTCCGTGTCAGGAGCTTTGTGAAAACTCGTGTTTTGACTCTTTATATTTATGAGAATCAACAGGAAGTAACATATATTTTATCATACATGACATGAAATATCTTAATACACACTTCGTAGTAAAAAACCATTCGGTATTGTTATACCTGTTAATATGTGTTTTTATTTATCACAAGATTTTCATCGAAATAATTGAAGACTTAAACTTGTTTCAAAGACAA